GCGGGGGGTGGTCAATGAAGTATATCCATCTTTTGCTTTATTTCAAATCCTTAAAGCTATTGCTTAGTATTAAGGTTGATTTTCTTCATTTGGATAAACTACACTTGTGGTCACTGAATTTAACTATAACTTCTATCTTAATTACTTACCATTCAAATTCTTAAATTTAGTCACTCAACTTAGTTTTAAAAGTGCAAACTTGGTTTATGAGATGAATGGAAGTAGTGTTGCTTGCCAACCACTTAGTGGTTAAAGTTTGAGGGTTCTTGGTCTCATTCTTGTTGTAAATTTCGTATCGTATCGGTCGCTATGGTTGGTACGTATCAGTTTTTTTCTTAAACCAAAATAGTATAAGATTTAATTTTGTTTTGGTCAAATTTCGTTTGTTTCAAATGAATTCAAATTTAAAAAGGGTAAATTTCATTTTTAGTCCTCAACTTTAATGTTTTACATAATTTTCATCCTTTAACTTTTTTATGTATTTTTTTAGTCCAACTATGAAAATTACGTTTTTTTAATCAATTCAAAGTTAATGTTTTGTATGATAGTAAATTTAGAATACTGTTATACTTTTTAATATTATCTTAATGTTAAAAAAAAATTATGAATGTTTTATAAAATTCACTATTTTAAATTTATTTTCAATTTATAAGAATATGATGACTTTAAAAATTAGTTTCTCTTATCATTATTTTAAAATTTGTTATTTAATTTATAAATATATATTTATAGCGATAAATCCGAAATGGTACCCAAAAAATTTCAATATTTGGTACGTACCATTCCAGTAGCAAAATCAATACATATGTTGATATGGTATTGACAACTTTGCTCATTCTACTCCCCCATTCCCCACAAATTGTAGTAGTTCAAAAAAAAAAAAAAATTTTAAGTGCAACCGTTAGTTATTGGACGTTAACTCCTTTTTACAGAGTGACATTGTATATACCCCCTATGTGGTCCAATGTAATTACCTTTTAACTAATAAGTTTTTAATTCTATTCAATTAAGTCTTAAATCAATTCGCTCAACAATTAAATTTAGTCAAATGAGCCCTACATGGGTTAAAAATACAATTTATTAAAACTAATATATTAATTTTTTAAAACTAATCAATTCCCTTAATTCATACTGAAAAGATGAATAATTAAGATTTAATATATATAATTTGTGTAAGTGAATCCTAACACTTTAAAAACAATATGATATGATGAAACATGTTAGATTTTATGAGGAGTTCTTTGGAAAGGATTTAACAAAGAGAAGTGGGCAAGGTAGTAAATGGCAATATTATTTATTTTTTTTATCATATCTTCTTGTACTATAAAAATTGTTAAAATTTTTAATAAATATCCAATGGAGAATTAACATTTTAAAATTTTCAATAAATACCAAATAAATATCTAATTGACCTTTTAAGATCTTAAACAAATATCAAATAAATATCTAATGAGTTTTTTAAAATTCAAACTTAATTATATTCTCAATAATAACCTTTTTATGGGATTAGGGAAAATCAGAATGTCTTCCCACTTAAAATGTCAAGAACAATAATGAAAAAACTAAAATATTTTAATGATCAACACGCCAAAAAAGATTCATAAGGATATTTTAGTTTTTTTACAAGAGGTCCAAACATTTAAAGTGTTAGGACATCTTAATTTTTACTTTTCTCATCTTCTATACCCATCCTCAATATCATATTTCAAATAATAATATCTCTTTTTAATATAATTCTACTTCAATCTAACTTTTCCTAGTGCAATTATATCTTATCTTATTATATTCTATACTCCTTAAAATTTCGTTGCCTATTTTCAATATATATATATACTACTTCAAATTGTTAAAATCTTCGATAAATAATTATAAATATAATTATAATTTTAATTATTAAGTCCTCAATTTGATAGCACAAATTGATTAAAAAAAAAAGAAAAGAAAAAGAAACTAATAACTTCTCTTTCTATACTTCAATTTAATTGATTCATCAACTTTAATTCTAAATTAATTCAATAACTTTAATTATATAATAGGTCAAATCCAATTGTATATTATAAAATTATTAAAATGTTCAATGAATATTAAATAAATACTTCATATGTCTTTTAAAAATCTTTCAAAAATCTCAAATAAATACCAAATGAACCTCTTAAAAAATATTCATTGGGCAAGTTGAAGCTTGATTAAATTAAATTAATGCCCTTTCAAATTTTTTTGATGTGCACAATATACATAATTCCTTACTAGATTAATTCTCTACAGAATAATACTTAATAACACTTTAATGATATCAAATTTCTTACCAATTGTTTTCAAATTTCACTTTAATTGCCATATAATAATCTCACTTCAACATCTACATATTATTAAAGTTGAAAAGAACTTCTCCAAATATATAATTTGACTCTTACTTTAATTATATAATGAGTTTAGCGTATATACATATTATATTATATTTAGAGTAGACTTTGCGAATTGATTCTTATTTATTCTATTGATCTTGGACTAAAGGAGTAATAATTAAGATGTAAATAATTTCATATAAATTTGCTTATTAATAATGATTACTAGCTAATAGCCTAAGTAGTTTAGTAGTAATCTCCTTTCGTTAGAAGTAAAAAATTTTAAATTCGAGTTGCATAACATAAGTATTGGCTCAATGCACTCCAATAAGAAGAGTGAATTGGAGTTCAAGATATTTTTTTTCCTTCTTGCAAGCATAAAGTAAAAATCAAAGAGAAAAGGGAAGAGAAGTTTGCACAACAATTTTATAGAAGTTCGATTCAACCACTTGATACCTAATCCTCTACTTTAGCTTCATTGACCAAGAATTTACTCCACATTCTCTACTAGAATGAATAAGAGTGGCTTTAAGGAGCCACTCAATCCTTTTACAAGAAAATAGGCTTTCTCACAAATCACACTTTTTAACAAAACAAACCCAACAATCCTTATTACAAAATCACTCTTTAAGGAAGCAAACACACCTACAATATATATCTGAAAGAATATGAGTAGAGGCAAGGACGGAGCTAGACTTTTAGGTGGGGGACGAAATCTTAAAAATTTTTAGAATTATAATAAGTTTATATCAATATAATTTATATTAATTTTTAACCATTAGTTATATAGTTTGTTAGTAGAATTATGTATATTCTTATCTTATATTTGGGTTGAAGGGAAGGAAGGGAAAAATTTTCCCTCCCCTCTCCCCATTTGGATAAGTAATTAAATTAAAAGAAAAAATAACGTAAAGGGAAATTTTCCCTTTCCCTCTATTCCTCTCAATTCAAATATATTATTAGTCATAGATCTTGAGTTTGATCCATAATTTTTATATAAAAAAAAGTTATACCAATTTTTATACTAGTCACTAATTTTATGGGTAAATGTACTACTTATAACATATATGCCAAACTTTAAATTAATTAAATATATTTGATTATTTTTTAATAACATACAATTCAATATGCTTAAACAAATAATACAAATAATAGGAAAAATGCTAGTAAGTTGAATCGAGAAAAAATTATGAAAAAATATTTCAAAATTATGTTATTTAAATAAACCCAATTAAAATAAATAGTCTAAATTAGCATATTTTTAGGGGAAGAATGAAGAATATATTAGTATTTTTTGTGATATTTTATTAAAACATCCTAATTTTGAAGTATTTTTCACCTTATTTTTGTGCAAGTCTAATAAATAAATACTAATCTCATATAAAATATAATTTCTTTTTTGATTTGATTACAGATATTAGTGAACTTTCAATTAGAATACAAATCTAATTGTTGAATTAACATAATATAAATTGTACAAAAGATTATAACTAATATAAAATCTATTTTCATAGCCAAATAAAATTATTTGTCTTAAGAATTGATTATAAAGAAAGAAATGGTCCCTTTACCTAGCTCCTAAATATTTTCTTTAAATTCAAAAAAGTAATTGTAATTCAAACATCAAAAACAAAATTTGTACTAATTAAAAATTAATGTACTAGATTAAACATTTTTCAAAAGCTTAGGGGGGGCAGCTGCCCCCTTTGTCCTATGGTAGCTTCGTCCTTTAGTAGAGGATTACAGAATAAGTTAAAGCACATGAATTTGAATGTTTCTCAAGTGAAAGTGTAAGTTAGTAGTTGAATATGTTAAATGAAAGTGTCTAAAAGCTTTATAAATGTACCTATCAACCTTATTTATCATCTCTAGGTTGAAATTAGCCATTTTTAGATGTTGGAGTGCATTAAATGCACTAACATATCCATTACTTGAAATTATGATCTCTATCCTATAGTCAACTATATCTCCTTCCATGGTCGACTTCATGGCACATTTTGTAATTTCTCACAACTTCTCAATTTTAAAAGTTTGACTTCCAATGGTAACTGAATTTCACCTATAGTCGACTACACCTTTCTAAAGTCAACTAAGTGGCATTCTCATAATTAGTTTTGAACTCTTTGTGCTTGAAGTACATTTTACACTATAGTTGACTAGAGTCTCTTAAAGTTGACTTCCTTTACAGCCAATTATATCTTCCTTTAATCATCGATATAGCACATCGAGAACACATTTCAAACCTTTTGTTTTCATCATCCAATTTTCTTAGTTGACTTTTATCCATATAGAGTTGACTCTATAACTCTTACGGTTGACTATGGCCTTCTTCAGTTGACTCTATCGCAAAGTTGTAAATAATTTGATTTGTCTAAAGATTTGGCTCTTAACTCTCCATTATAGTAAACTATATTCTCTTAAAGTTGATTCTTCATGAATTTATCCTTTGGCAATTAACTTTATCTCCTTTTAATTAATTGTATATTGTATTGTTCATATTTTTCATCTTTTTCAAGTTACTTCTGACACTTGAATAAATTAAATATCCTACATATTTGCACAAAACATATTAAGTATTTTAAAATTGTTTTGTTATTATCAAAATCAACATCGAAGCTCAACAATGTAGGTGGGTGGGTTAAGAGATAGAAGAGA